GAGGGAGGACGGAGAAGCAGAGCCAGTGGAAGAGCAGGAGGAGGGAGGGAGGACGGAGAAGCAGAGCCAGTGGAAGACAGATGCAATGGCTGCCATCAGGAAAGGAGGAGGACACACCAGTAGGGACCTAGACTGACAAAGGGAAGAGACACTGTCAACACCTCCATGAATATATATTTGATCATTTCGATAACTGAACAAATTAATTACGAGACACATTTCCAAGAAGACTCAAGAAGAAACAGAAAGTTTCAATAGCTTTATTATCTACTGAATACAGTTTTCATTCTTTCTTTGTTTTTTTGAGACAGGATTTTTCTGTGTAGTCTGGCTGTCCTGAAATTCGATCTGTAGACCAGGCTGGCCTTGAACTCAGAGATCTACCTACCTCTGCCTCCCTAGTGTGCGTCCTCCCTCCCTCCCCCTGCTCTTCCACTGCCTCTGCTTCTCCGTCCTCCCTCCCTCCCCCTGCTCTTCCACTGCCTCTGCTTCTCCGTCCTCCCTCCCTCCCTCCCTCCCTCCCCAGCTCCCCTTCCTCCTTCTGGTCTCCTTTCTCTGACTTTCATGACCAACCTAGCGGGAAGCTTATTGGTTTTACTGATTTTTTTTTTTTCTTTTTTGTTTTGTTTTTGATACAGGGTTTCTCTGGGTAGCCCTGGCTGGTCTGGAACTCAGGAATCCCCCTTCCTCTGCCCACTGAGTGCTGGGTTTAAAAGCATGGGCCACCACCCAGCTTTAAAGGTGTGCACCACCACCGCCTGCCTGGCTGCAAGGAAAATCTCATAGACTTAACACTTGTACACTGAAAACTAAAAAATACTGCTGAAACATGTAATGACACAGAGTCTGAGGCCATGTGATTCAATATTGTTAAGATGACAAATCTTCTCAGATTAATCGATAAATGCAATGAAATCCCAACAAAATTCTAAGATTAAAAAAAAAATATTTAAACAAAACCTAACAAGCTATTCCTACAATTAATGGAGAAATACAAAGAACTAAGAATATACATAAGAAAAAGAGGAAAAGAAGGGAAAGGGAGGATAATCATAGAGTTCACACCACGTAGCTGCAATTATCAACAGACTGGGAGGAGGGACAGAGAGCAAGGAACAGAGCCCAGAACAGACCTCTACAGGAATATTTGATTAACTCCCAACAGCTACCCGGGAGAGTTTGTGTGTGGGAAACAGATCAGTCTCAACCTTTATCTGAACCTGCATGCAATGATCAACTGGCGATAGACTGGACCCTCACACAAGGAAGTCCTCAAAGGAAGCAGAGGACGGACTTATCTCACCGGGAGTCGATGATTTCTTAGAACCAAGGGAAAATTTAGCAAACTGACCCTTATCAAATGTAAAACATCTGCCCCCTAGAAAAGCAACACAAAAATGATAAGACAGTGGGCTGTGTGGGTACATGCCTGTGGAACTTGGAAAGAAAGCAGAGACTCAAGTGATTGCCATAGGTCTGAAGCAGGCCTAGTCTACAGAGAGTTTCAGACCAGCCAGGGATACATGGCAAGATCCTGTCTCAAAAACCAAACAAACAAAACACATCAAACAGAAATAGCAAGTGAAAGCTGGGGTACCATGTTTGACAAGAACATCTATCTGCAAAACAAGTTAGCTGAGAAACAGCCATGCTGGTTAAATGAATGCAAGGAGCTCACCACCTTCAATCCAATAAAAATGGACAAACGATGTGCGTCCCTCAACAAAACCCACAGAGACACATGCCAATCAATACCCCAAATGGCACACAATAGCACTGGAATGCAGAGATGCAGGCTAAAGCCTCAGTGCCACATCCCCAGCAGAGGTGGTAAAATTCAAAGTCACAAACGCTGGTGAGGATGAGGAACAGGCACACCACTCACCTACATGCTGGTCAGAAAGGAAATGTGCAAACACTGACAGCTGCTCATGAAACTCATGATGAACAGAAAGTCACACTGAAAAACGTGCCCAAGAGCAAGACATATTTCCACACAAGACTTGCACATAAATTCTCACTGCAGTTTTACTCATAAGAAATCCCCAACAGCCGGGCGGTGGTGGCACACACCTTTAATCCCAGCACTCGGGAGGCAGAGGCAGTCGGATCTCTGTGAGTTCGAAGCCAGCCTGGTCTACAGAGTAAGTTCCAGGATAGACTCCAAAAGCTACACAGAAAAACTGTCTCAAAAAAGAAAAACAGAAAATAAAACAAAATAAAAAGAAAGAAAGGAAGGAAGAAAGACAGACAGAAAGCAAGAAAGCAAGAAAGCAAGAAAGCAAGAAAGCAAGAAAGCAAGAAAGAAAGAAAGAAAGAAAGAAAGCAAGAAAGAAAGAAAGAAAGAAAGAAAGAAAAGGAATCCCAAACTGAGGCCAGCATGACGGCTTAGTGGGACAGCCTGCCAAGCCTAACAACCTGAACCCGCGTGGTAGAAGAGAAGTCATACCCACAAGCTGTCTTTCACATCTACATGCACCCCCTTCCCCCCGCCACACATAATAAATAAAACTGTATTAAAAATTTTTAAACTCCACAACTGTGTAAATGGTGGAATGCTACCTAGAGATTAAAAAGGAACCTACTTATTCACTCCATGTCAATTAAATCCCCTAGCCAACAACATGTTGAGAGAAAAAAGCCTGACAGAGAAGTATTTAAAGGATTGACAACCTACAGATAACAACAACATTCACTGACACCCTATAGTTCCAGGCTTTGATAGGAAGCAAGTGATCACATCACAGATTTGGAAAGGCAGTAGAATAGAGGCGGAAGTGCTAACAGCACTCCACTGTATCCCCACCTGGTCATCTACGCAGTCATTTCACGTATCTACTGAAACATTTGACCCCATTAATTATCCCACCGATGGACCACAGTCCTGACCTGACGCCCATCTGCTCCACCCAGCAGTCCTGGTACTGTAACTCTGGGACTGGCCTCTGGGAGCCTGGGCAACTCAGGAAAGGCTCTTCCCTGCCTGGAGCTTTCAGCTCATCATCAGCTCAGGTCTCCGCTCAGATGCCGTCCTCACAGAGGTGCCTGCCTGTCCAGAAGACCTGAACGAAGCTGAAATCTGTCCTAGTCTCCAGGTTCCTCCTCCCCTTCCCAGCCAGCCAGGCTGAGCATTCCTGATCTGAAACCCGCCGTCTAAACGCTACACTCTGCAATGCTTTGAAGACTGGCAAGAAGCCTCAAGAGGAGAATTCAACACCTGACATGATAGTTAACATGGAGATACACTAAAAATACCACAAAAGGATTTTCAGGGTCTGCATGTAAGGCATATATGTAACAAAGTTCATGTCTAGACTGGGCTCCTTTCCCTAAGATACTCAGCATACGTATGCAAATATTCTAAAGTCAAAAAAAGGAAACCTGGAATCTTTTTTTTTTTTTCTTCCGAGACAGGGTTTCTCTGTGTAGTTTTGGTGCCTTTCCTGGATCTTGCTCTGTAGACCAGGCTGGCCTCCAACTCACAGAGCTCCGCCTGCCTCTGCCTCCCGGGTGCTGGGATTAAAGGTGTGCACTACCACCACCCAGTGAAAAGCTGGAGTCTTAAACAGCCCTGGTCCTAAGAGCTGTGGGAGAGAGAAACTCAACCCTTACATACTTTACTTTACTTACATGGTTAGTGACGCCCCCCCCCCCCTCCCCCCCTACAGAGAGCGTCAGCTAGGTTACTCACTGCTAAGGCCTCTGGGCTCACAGGTGCCTGGCCCAGAGCACTGTCGAGAAAAGGAGTTGTTAGTTTACTTGGAAGCCACTTCTCAGGCAAGGACCCGACCTACTTCCTCCTTGCCCCCAGTGCCTAATGAATGGTGGATGGTGAACCTTTGTTAATAAGAGAATGAATTAAAACACAGACATGGAGCTCACCTGCAGCTGCTGCTGTAAGTGGGTGATTTCAGCAATTCTCAACTCTCTAGACTTGTTTGTGCTCTCAATTTCCTGCCTCTGGGTCGTCAGCCGACATCGGATATCTTGAAGCTTTCCTTCCAACTGATGCTTTTTGTCATTCTTCAATAAAGGAAAGACGGCAGGGTGAGTGTGGTGTCTAAGGTCTCTGTGCAAGACGAGGAAGGAGAGCCGCACTCACCAGCGCCTCCAATTCAAACTCCAGAGTCTTCCTCCGGGCCTTCAGGACCACAATGCCCTCCTGCTCTTTGTTCCTCTGATTCAGGAGCTCCTGTCTCCGGTTCCGCTCCCATTCAAGTTGCCGCTGCCGTTCAAGTTCCCGTTTTGCAGCCTGTGGTTATAGATCGCTTATTAATTTCCAAATTCTAACACTATGCAATGTTTCTTAACAAACATGTCTAGTGAGCCCCTCCTCCTGAGGGTGAAACGCCATATACTGTCAGCTCATGGACACTGGGCTCTGACTATGCAGGATAGGACACAGATGAGGACAGGGCCGTTCCTGTAGCCCTGTCCCTCTTGCCTCCCAGGAAGCAAGATGGACTCTGTAAATGTGTCGTCTTTGTTTATCTAGCAAAATCAAACTAAAATCCTCAACGACAAGAACAAATAAACTTGATTTTCTCCTGTTGAAAGAGAAGTTACTTCATATAAGTTGAGTGTTTCTTGTCCAGAGAACGACAGGGACCAGAAATGTTCCTGATTCCTGAGGTGTCTGCACGGGCTCAACTGGTTAACTGCCCCTAATGTGAAAATCCCAAATCTAACTTTTTGAGCGGACTTTTGGATTTAGAAGCATTTCAGATTAGATTTCCACATCAGGGGCACTCAACATATCTCAAGTTTTAAAAGCCCGTGACTCCCACCTTCCTAATCACTATTTCCTTTTTAACCATAAAAACTGTAGTTTCAACATGCCAACCTCTACACTGACTGCTAGGCAGTGTGACGGCCTCTCATTTAGCAAACCCTGGGGACACACGGAGCCTAGGGTCACTCTATATCTCCAGGGACTAGGGATGTCAATATCTGCTCAGCACTGCTGTGCTCAATCCCCAGCACCAAATAAACACAAAACCCTGTTAGTATCTGTATATACTTCCTTCAACACAAAGCTACTAATGACTACATACTTTTTCTAAGGCAATAACTAGAAGATGAAACTAAAACATTTTTAAATAAGAAAAAAACACCTCGTCTTTACATTTTCTTCACATGGGAGAGAGGAGCATTGCTTCTGTAGCAATATACTCAAACAAGGAGAGGCAGGGAGCCGGTTCCCCTTCAGGGTCTAGCACCAAATTCACCACTTCAATGGAAACGGTAAACAGACACAGTGCGTAAGTTAGCAATTCCCAGGCACTGGGAGAAGACTAGATGGGGAAGAGCTGCTCAGTGGATCGTGGAATGTTCTGGAATAGACGGTGGTGATCACTGAGCAACTCTAGACACCTAAGCCTCACAAGGGAAAGAAGAGTGTGTCTGGACCGCGACCCCCCAGAGGTGGGGCGTGGGGCTGCGCACCTCTCGCCTCTCGATCTCCTTCCGCCTCTCTTCCTCTCTCTGCCGCTCCAGCTCCCGCTGCTTCTCCAGCTGCTTCTCCAGCTCCAGCTGTCTCTTGCGCTCCTGCTCCTGCCGCTCCCGCTCCTTCCTCTCCTGCTCGGCGCGCTCCAGCTGGGCCAAGCGCTCCTGCTCCTTGCGCTGCTGCTCCAGGAGGGCCTGCCTGCGCTTCTCCAGCTCCAGGTTGCCGCGCTCAAAATTCTCCCGCTTCTTATCTTCAAATGTTACTGGAAGACAAAGAAGACATCAACGATGGGAAAAATCCCCATTTTCAAAGAATAACCAGGGTGCGTGTGCATACTTGCAGTTCAACCCCAAACCCAGAACTGCCCAGGGCCCTAGGATACTCTAGACTGGGGGGGGGGAAGAAAAGAAAGGAAAGGTAATGGAGGAGGAGGAGGAGGAGGAGGAGGAGGAGGAGGAGGAGGAGGAGGAGGAGGAGGAGGAGGAGGAAGATTCTGCCAACGTCCTTTCCTGTTGAAGACTATACACAAACGTTTACTGCCGACAGAAAGAGACAACCCCCAATGTAAGAATTCCTGTATTTCTTTGACAACACTGCGTTCCCACTGAATGTAATCAGTCCCTACACATGGAGTGATGATTCATTCCTAAGTCCCTCAGCTCTGACTTATTCTGTGGAGATGTGTTTCCCACGACTCTTCTCCATCTGGGCCAACCCCAGGGAGGCTTGAGCATGCACACACAAACTCTCCACTTTCTTCAGTCTCCGGGTGCTGCTTCAGCGGGTCATTTCTATGGGTGCCTTAAATCTTATAGAAACCAGGTGTGGAGACACATACCTGTAATCCCAGCTCTCACGGGACTCAGGCAGAAGACTGCTGTGAAATCCAGGCCAGCTTGGGCCACATACAAAGACTCTTATGTCTCAGAAAACAAGCCCCCACCCCAAAACTAATATAGTATTCCAGAGAGTATAATCACAGAAATATTTAAATTTTTCACTGTACTTAACATACAGCCTAGCTCATAGATCATTTATAGTAAGTATTTTATCACTAAACATAATTGAAAAGCAATTTAATCAGCTGGAAGAGTGAGTGCCTCAGACAATTAACTGGGGCGTACTGAAAACGCACCGTGACACCAGCAGAGTAGTTAAGACTGAGAGACTTATTAATAATTTCAACTGCATCTTAGCATCATTATCATCTCATTAATAATTCAGAGCCACCTTATTTCAGACTAACTTAATAGCATAATAGATTTGCCATTGAAAATGAGGGTTATTTAAAGTCAGTTCACATTAAAATTAAAACACGTTCCTTCTGTTTACAAGTGCCCAGTTTTCCCGGACAAGCAAAATAAAATATCAATAGGAGACTCAAGCTTCTACTGCGGCATCGTGGAGAGCAGGAAACCACCTTAACGCCAAAGGTGCTTTGTATTCCACGGTGACATTTATAGAAGTTTCTTTCTTTCTTATTTTGGTTTTTCCAGACAGGGTTTCTCTTGTAGCCCTTGGCTGTCCTAGAACTCTCTCTGTAGCCCAGGCTGGCCTCAAACTCACAGAGATCCGCCTGCCTCTGCCTCCGAAGTGCTGGGATTAAAGGTGTGCACCACCATTGCCCGGCTATTTTTATAGAAATTTTGTTTCACAGCAGGCATTCAGGTTTCAATCAGACAGTGGGATAAAGGCGCACTAGCGGAGTTCATAACATTCTTGTTTCTCAGTGATTCCAAGGGTCCCCTCCTGCCTATGGGTGGCTGAAGAAATGGCGGCATTCTGCCGTCCACCAGCTAGTCAGCGGTGGGCCGCTCACCGGGTAGCTTCTTCTCTAACTGCTGCTCATCCTCTGATGCCGGCTCCTCGGGCAGCCTCTGATCCACAGACGAAGAGCTTATGACGGACATCCCACTGCCGGAGCGAACCCTTCTGCGAAAGAAAGGAAGGGCGTCACCGATGGGCCTCGGAAGGAGGGAATGACTAGAGCTCAGCGTGGAGCAGGTTTTAGTGAAAGCGAGAAAGAGCACAGATTTGCTTTTCTCTACTTGGAAAGTTTTTTAAATGGGCATTTGAACGTCATCAGAGTCTGAGTGCCAAGCTTGCTCAAAACGCTGCTGCTAGAGATGCAGCTAAGTGGTGGCACATGCTTGCATGCATTCGATCCCCAGCACTCTCCAAACCATCACGGTCCCCAAAATCAATAAAATATCTAGAACTGCCACAAGGTAGAACAACCCCTGAGGGCTGAACCTGTAACCACCTGGTGAGGAAGTTTGGTAGCTATCACCATTACCCTTGGAAATCATTCTCAGCTTCCCCAAGGAAGGCAACAAGGAAGTTAACTGGGACCAACAAGTTTCCCTTTAGAAACTCTATTTTAGCACCCCTAAACACAAACCATAGTTATGATTCTGAAAACATCGACTTGCTGCAAGCCACAGGAAAATGTAATGGAATCCAGCTACTATCACAAAAGCTACTACTTGGAAAGATCAAGGACTTTTCCAAAGGTCAAGCCATGGCTTAAGAAGTCTTGGTGATATTTTAGCTTCTGTATATATATTAGCCGATTTCTACAATGATTTCCTTGTACACTATGTATGCTTCCAAGAACTCACAACAGTGTACTTTATCTGAAATACCTATCAAGCATCTAAGGCCTAACAGTCTCCTGAATTAAGGTAAATTAAGCTCAGACCCTTTTTTCTCATACAGCCTTAACAGTATTTATACTAACATTATAGACTCCTAACATTTCCCTAACCACCTCTAGGAATGTAGTTTGAGCACATAAATTCCCTTTTTCTGATATATTAACCAATTTTAGCTCTTAGTTGACCTCCTCCTTTACCACTCCCCTTTTGGGTTATAAAAGAAAGCCTAATGGTCAATGCCTGAGGAAAACTCTTGTCTGCTTTTATGACCCTATAAGAATTCAAGCCTGATGACCTTGCTTTAGCTAAAGCACTGCTATTGCATGGGTTTATAGCTGTAAACCTCAGAGACGGGGAGAGGATTTGAGGATTCTGACTAGAGAACTAGATGGAGGACTAGAAGAATGAGATGGAAGATGAGGAACAGCCAGATGGGGAAGAACGAGATGGGTAAGAGCAAGATGAGAAAGACCAAGATGGGGCAGAACTGAGATGAGAGAATTAAGATAGAACTTAGAGGGGACAGCAGATAAAGGTAGAGAGAAGTCAGGCAAGGAGCTAGGCTTGAGTACAGAACTATAGTTGTGTAGACAGAATTTGATCCCAGAGGAATAAAGTAGATGGACTAAGAGCTCGGTATACTTAGATTCTTTTCCGAAAATAATTTTCACCATTTGTAGCTTCTCTTCTGGGCCTCTGGGAAGAAGATTATTAAGGCTGGCCCATAATAATATTCGAGATCAACTCATTATAAGTGTCACATGAAACCCTCAACCTTTGTCTTTTAAAACAATCTCTCATCTGAATGTGGTGAGGCACAACTTTAATCCCAACACATGGACGGCAGAGGCAGATTCTAAGAGTTCAAGGCCAGCCTGGTCTACAGAGAGAGTTCTAGGATAGCCAAGGCAATAGAGTGAGACCCTATCTCAAAAACACAAATCTCTCACCCTTTTTCTGCTTTCTTCTGAACACCATCTTCAAACGTTTGGTTTCTCCCCCACAGGTCCCTGAAGCTGAGGGCTGCCGCCTGCTGCCTCCCACCTGTACAGCCCCCTCTGCTGCTCCCAGAACCACACAGAATGTGTGGTGACGACTCTCTGCACTTCGTTTCAGAGACTGTGCCCGAGTCTCTTCTGAGGACTCCGAATATAAACACAGATCTTACTTGTCTTTTATTCAGTAAATGGAACGTTCTGGGATGGTGTGTTCACACACTACGGGTGCAGGAGGATGACAGTCCCAGCGGGCTTCTCCTGACTAGATCTCTCGTTCTGGGATGGTGTGTTCATACACTATGGCTGCTTCTCTTGACAGTTCTAGTCTTGACGTCTGAGTCTGTTTCAGGCCAGGATAATCTTTAAAAATTATCTTCCTGATTATAATTTCTACATGTAGCATTTTTGTTACCTCTTGAATGTGCATCATTCATAGGTGTGATCTCTGATTTCCTACATGCCTTCTCAGTCTGGTTCTTTCACTGTGAGAGTACAATTCTGGTGAGCTTTGGTAATAGATGAGCACAAAAATGAACAACCTTGGTCTTTTACTTGATGCTTTTACTACATGGAATATATAAGTGCTCAGGAGAACAAGACAGGACCAGCCTTAAAACACTGAGCTAAGCTAAAGTCTCTTCTTTCATGGATAGTTCATCTTCACGTCAGGAAAGGAAACAGCCGAGTTTGGGATCCAGGCAAATTCTCTCAAGAATCAAATGTTACTTACCTAAAGGAAGGAGGAATGTACTCTGGAGGCAGGACAGGTGGCAGTGGCTGGCCAGACATGGCAACATCAATTAGGTGCATAGCCAGGATGAATTCTTCTGCTGTGAGTTTTCCATCTTGATCAATGTCAGAAAGATTCCTAATTCAACAAAAAATTCATGCAATCCAGTTCACAAAAATGCATGCTTCTTACTATTCACCAGTGATTTGCAAATTCTATTTCCTTACTCTGATCCTAAGCCAACAGAATCTTTCTGTGTACCAGCTTGTAGAACAAGTACTATTTCAGACTACTGGGAGGACAAAAAATAATCCATACAGTTGTCTTTAGCATTCCACAAATGCTAATTATGATTATAATGATCCTCTTCAATCCTTGCAAGCCATTTAAAATATATTATACTCAAGTTCTTGTAATGTGAAAATACTATGTACTAGACAAAGGACTGATAAAGGGTAACACAGCAAATTATTTCATGGTCTGTAAGACATACAAGCCCTGTTACACCAGACTTTACTCTTGATGAGAACCCACAGACAGTATGTAAATGAATGGGCATGCCTACATTTACAATAAAGCCACCTATAAAAGGTCATGTTCCACCCACTGGCCATTCATTCACTCATCTATGGATTGATGTTTGTATTCTCCAGCCCCCTTCTAGAGTTGGGGGCATTTCTCTCTCTTCATTGTAGCAATCCAGTCACCATCAGGCTTATGATGGACTTGTCCAAGTAGCTATGTGTAAACAGCTGATTGTTCTAGACTTCCAATGGACAGGTGAGAGCACACATTTATTCTCAAGCAGGTTAACAGCACAAACACCACGTCAGGAGTCTGCTTTTGCTGATGACGACCAATCAAAAACTGTCTTCCTCTTTCTGCAATGTCTTCAGGGGTCACATGCTTCCTGGCTACTAATGTGTAAGTTCTATGAGCTAACAGTGGCCCTCTGCAGAGGGCAGTTATGTACATCTCTGACAAAACAGTCAAGTTACAGAGTGACCACTTCGATGTAAGGCAAGGAGCACCCGAGAGCACACATTTCCTGTTGCTCACCTCTTCTCCCTGCCTGGCCCCATGGCTCTCTTCTGACTTACTTCTCTCCTCCTTAGATGTATGCATCCTTTCAACGGAACAGACAGCCGCAAACCCACCCGTCACCTTCACATGCTATACTCTCAGCCACTCCAGTGTAAACGAGACTGAAAGGGAGTTAAAACTCCCTTTCCCTCATAAACTGGCTAAGAAAGGGCCACAAAAATTATAGCATCTTTTTAGTGTGAAGAAGGAAAACATAATAGTCCAATAGAGATTAGGAAGTCATCAATGAAAAGCATCAGGGGTATGAGAGCGACCTAATAAATGTCAATCAAACTCCACCAATATTACATCTTAGATCTGTTTCAGAGGGCCCTGGGATGCTGGTCCTACAGACTACTAGTTGGCCCACTCTAAGTAAAAAGCAGACTCTTCAGTAGAAGGGAAGAGGGGAGGGCCTGCAGTGCACTAGAGCCTGTCCCTTGTTGAGTAGCCGTAGCCAATTCCTGCCAAGACGTGATAAGCGGACACCAGGTCTATTTTCCAGGTAGCTATCAACACACAATTAAAAGAGGCAAGCTTGTTTCTAAAAGTGGAAGGAAGGGAGGAAGGAAGGAAGGGAGGGAGGGAGGGAGGGAGGAGGGAAGGAAGGGAGGGA